GGGATTGACTCCATTTTGTTATTAAAACGCCATTGTTGCCATCTCCTCATTATTCTACCTGTATACACATGTGTCTTTGCGATATTGGTCAGTGTGTGTGTGTTTAGGCAATGTCATCGCTTCAATTAGCCCGGCTTGTGTGTGTGTGTGTGTGTGATTTATTCGCTATTGAGTGAGAGATAGCCTCGGGAGTAATTTCTTGATTAGTTATAATCGCATAAGTTATGGAGATGGAAACGGACAAACAGTTCGTTTAGTGTAATTAAAATCGATACAGCAACATGCCCATAGGAAGGTAAATCAAGACAATGGAGTAGTTGAAACTAGATAGAAAAAATGTGTGAAGAAAGCAAAAAATGAGACTCAAGACACTATCTCCTAATAAAAAATATATCAGAAACTTAAACTGGGTTTCTGGAATTCCAATCACAGATACAATATTGAAATGTATATAGTATGCTTATGTTTATTTAGTTCCTTCTTTTTAGGCTTCCGTACACAGTGGCGGATAAAGGGGGGGGGCCCTCTTTTAGGGGGCCTCCGAATCTTAATAAGTAATTTTTTATTCAACTTGCAAACAAGGCCAATATGTGTTCAGTAGTTACAAAGCTGTTTGTAAACAGTATAAACGGAAGCAGATATTTACTTAATTATCAATAATTATCAAGCCCCAGTAATTGTAAATGGCATTTTCTATTTAGGAAATTAAATCAATTCTTTGTTTAAAATATCGAATAATTATTATTTTTTATATATTTTGATACTGAATTTATTTATTTTAACTTTTAAGTTGTTTTTCAATGGTTTCATTATTTATTATTATGGAATGGTTTCATTATTTATTGTTATTTATTTTTACTGAATAAACATTTTAAATTACAACTAATGCACAGCATAACTTGTATTCTAGCTTCATTACTGATGATTTCCTTTAGTATAACGGGGGCCACGGGCCTGAGACAGCGAAGGGGCCCCTCGGATCTTGGAGGACTTACAAAATCGCGATATTTTGTCACGGTATTTCCCTGGAAGCATTTTTAAGAAAAAAATATTTAAAATTTTTGGACGAAAAAAACTACCTGTCAAAAAATTTGTACAGGTTAAAAGTCAAATTTAGCGATTATCACAGCCTCTGTGACATAAAGAAAAGACATGTGGATATCTATTTCAAAAATTAAATTGTTCATATGTCATATAATAATGGCGGTAGCTGTCATGGAATTGAGCGATTAAAAAATTATCATAAATATTTTTTTTTTTCAAATGGAAACCCATTTTTTTTATTTCACTAGTGAAAAGGTTTTCTAATTCGTTACGTTTTAACTAGACATATTCCTATACCTAAAATAAATCGTTTTTTAGTTATTTAAGATTTAGTTTGAAAACGTATATTTTTCTTGATTTTATCTAGCTTCCTTTGACATTAAGTTTCACTCAGACAATTTATTTCCATCTGTCAAAAAATGAATTATTTGAATTTCCTCTATTATAACTACTGCCTGCGTTAAAGTTTAAAAAGTGTATTTATATAAATATATCTCGTTTTTTAGTGATATCTAATAGTTGATATTTTAATAATATACCGAATATAAATCGAAAAAAAAACAGCGCAAAGTTAGCTTGGAAATGATGATCGATAATATACTGTCATAGACATAAGTATAGTCAAAAAGTAACAAATTTTAAAAACGAAAGAAGCGAAAGCATTTTCACGAATGAAATAAAAAAAGTGGATTTCCATTTGAAAAAAAATGATTTATAATAATTTTTTAATCGCTCAATTCCATGACAGCTGCGGCCATTATTATATGACATTCGAACAATTTAATTTTTGACATAGATAGCCATGTCTTCTCTTTATGGTACAGTGGCTGTGGCAATCACTAAATTTGACGTTTAAGCTATATACATATTTTTGACAGGCAGTTTTTTCCTCCAAAAATTATGAATATTTTTTTTTCTCAAAAACGGTTAACGTTAGGTATGGAGTGTTGAATATCAAAATTCATAAAATTTTACAGAGAATTTAAGTATGTAATAAAAAATGGAATCGCCTATTTAAAATAAGAAAGTTGCTGTCAACTTCCGGTACTTCCGAAAGTGACGCCATATTGAAAATATTTTTAATCGATAGATCTCATTGTGAAACAATGATATACCCAAAATCTCATATCTAGATATTGTAGTTCTCTAGAAACTTCTAACGCAGGCTCAGCCTGGGACACCCTGTATAAATTCTTGAATTTTGTCAACCATTATACATACGTCATTCAATTTTACAAAATGTGCATTAGAACTATATCATTATCTAAACAGACCGGGGGCCACATTTAGCTTTGCCGCCCCGGGCCCCCGACAGGGTTAGTCCGCCACTGTCCGTACCCAAAGGGTAAAAACGGGAACCCTATTACTAAGACTTCGCTGTCCGTCCGTCCGTCTGTCACAAAGGTCTATCTTATGAACCGTTATAGCTAGACAGTTGAAATTTTTACAGATAATGTATCTATGTTGCCGCTATAAGAACAAATACGAAAAACAGAATGAAATAAATGTTTATAAATAAAAAAGTACTTTCACTAAACATTATCTTTGTGAGGTGTTCCTCAAAGTTTCACATTCTTGGTATGCCATCAACTGGAAGTTGGAGGAGTGGAGTTTTTCTTTACGTTGTCCTTTTGAGTCTTCCTGCCCTCCTTTCTTCGTTAGCCACACATTTTAGCGAATGTTCTAATATATTTATATATAATTTATATATATACTAACGAACATTACGAAATATATCGCTGCTCTCTCCTGACGCCTATGATTTGGGATTGACTCCATTTTGTTATTAAACCATTGTTGCCATCTCCTCATTATTCTACCTCTTACATGTCCCTTGCGATATTGGTCAGTGTGTGTGTGTGTTTAGGCAATGTCATCGCTTCAATTAGCCAGTTGTGTGTGTGTGTGTGTGATTTATTCGCTATTGAGTGAGAGATAGCCCTCGGGAGTAATTTCTTGATTAGTTATAATCGCATAAGTTATGGAGATGGAAACGGACAAACAGTTCGTTTAGTGTAATTAAAATCGATATAGCAACATGGCCATAGGAAGGTAAATCAAGACAATGAAGTTGTTAATACACAATACAAAAATTGAAGAAAGCAAACGAGGCTCAAGACACCATCTTCTAATAAAAATATATGAGTAACTTAAACTGAGTTTCTGGAATTACAATCACAGATACAATATTGAAATGTATACTAAGGGTCAGCATTTTTGGTCTCGGGTGCCGGTTTTCATGTGTACGAAGAGTACGGTCAACACGCTTAGTAAAATAACATGTACTGAATAAAGACAGAAATAAAGACAGAAGGCGAGTAGCGTCAGATTAAGTAGTTATGTAATAAATACTTCGTATTTTGCTCACTCCGACTTACTAGATTGCCATAACGACTCACTCCTATACATGTAAACGCCGACCCAAAGGTTCGCTTGCCAGCGGGGTATATGCTTACCTATACTAATATATAAAATCCTTAAGTGACTGACTCACTGATTAATCACGATCGTGCTCAAACCACTCAACTTAAGAAGCTCAATTTTGGCATACAGGTTGATTCTAAGGTGTAGAGGTTCGATAAGAAGGGATTTTTCGAAATTCCAGTTCCAAGGGGGTGAAACCACCCATCAAATATTACAATATTTTTTATTTAAAAACGGTCAAGTTTCCGAAACAACGCTTAAACACGTATATTTTATTTTGTTTTTACATATTTTAAGATTTTTTTAAAAATGTATACAGGGTGTTTCGCAAAATCTGGTTATTAATTAATCACGATCCTGTTTAAAGCGCTTGACGTAAAAAGCTGATTTTTGGAAAACGGATTGACTTTAGGATGTATAGGTTCGATAAGAAGGGATTTTCCGAAACTCGAATTCTAAAGGGGTGAAACCACCCCTCAAATATTAGAATATCTTTTATTTAAAAACTGGTGAGTTTTTCGGAAAAACTCTTAAACACGTATATTTTATTTTGTTGTTTTACATATTTTAAGATTTTTTAAAATGTATACAGGGTGTTTCATAAAATATGACCATTTTTATGCTTGCACGATTCTGCTTAAACTGCTTGATATTTAAAGCTGATTTTTGGTAAACGGATTTACTGTGGGGTGTAGAGGTTCGATAAGGAGGGGTTTCTCGAATCTCAAATTCCAAGAGGGTAAAACGCCCTCAAATATTACAATATTTGTTATTTAAAAAATGGTTAGTCTTTCGGGAAACGCTTGGGTACGCATCATTTATTGTGTTTTTTACATATTTTTAATTTTTTTTAAAAATCATACAGGGTGTTCCAAAAAGTTGGGTAATTGATTAACCACAATTCTGCTTAAACTGCTTGACGTAAAAAGCTTATTTTTGGCAAACGGATTTTTGTCGAAAATCAAATTCCAACGAGAAATAGAGACCCCAAATATTACCCAGTAATATAATAATATCGCCTAATATTGTTTTTCTCATGCTGACATAAATGTGAGAAAATTTTTTCCAGTTTGTATGTTAATGGAAATTCTTGCTTGGCTTTATCATCACCATTACAAATGATTAATCTGACGCGAACGAAGTCGCGGGTACACGCTAGTTCCCTATAGTTCCCTTTATTTTTCTCTAAAATGAAGATTTTCCTCATGAAGATTACATAGAGACGGCATACAAAGGAGTATTTTCAAAAATTAACAAACTAACGGACGAAGCTCTGTGCTGGTATGGTAATTCTAAAGAAGGAATGAGAAAAAATATTTTATGTCAGTTTTATGACACCCTGGAAAATGTGCTATTCTTTGTATTAGGTAATGATAAGCCCTTTTCTCCATATATGGACGGTTCAGACTCAAAGTTATTAAACTTTTGAAAACAGTTAGACTTGAGAATATAACCTAGAGATCGGAAGAGAACCACAGTACATCTGTAAAGGTTGCAATGGAATAGGCCGATTAGGCTAGTTTTTCACTTACCTCAGCTTTGAAACCTTCTTTAGGATCTGCAGTATATTTTACAGTTCTGATGTATCCATCAGCGTCAACCACAGAGTAACTACCAGTGATCTTCTTTCCATCTCTTTCTTCTTTACGAGTTTGGTAGTTGGTAAATTGGTCGTCCTTTACATCGAAACCAAACTGGTAGGAAGGATTGGGCTGCAAGCAAAGAGTAACAGTTAAAATTATGAAAAAGCTAAAAGTTTTAACAGCCATATAGGTATTTGTGTGCGAATTTTCTGATTTCGACAAAAGCCCAGATTTTTGTAGAGGATTAACTAAGTAAGGAGACCAAAAGAGAGACGTACTAGTAAAAACAGATATATACCCTTACAGTTGGGACTCGTACCTGTTGATTTTTTGCTTGAACAAAACACTTGAGGATAGCGCGCGCTTGGAGGTGTACACTGTGTACTCGGCCGATCTTGTCTCTCTCTCGTCACGCTGCGTACTCGACTACGGCTACGTACCCACTAAGGTTTTTCGGGTAAAGGAGGGGAGGAAGGGATAGAATCCAACAGTAGTGAATAAAATAGTGTTTTATTTTGCAGATATACCCTGTAATGTGAAACACGATATATTCATACAGATATTTTTACAAGACTAATTTGCAATTCAATAGGCTTTAATCTAGCAGCCTTTTCAGGCCCAAGTCTCATACAAATTGGGTCGGGATTACAACTTGATACTTCATACATTTATGTAACGTAGAATTATTTCCGAAATTCTTTAACGGCGCCTCGTTTGACTAATCCAGACTGCCGGCTTTCAGATAATTTTCTCTTGAAAGTAATCGGGATTAAAGTAATCGATTAAATTTATTTAAAAGAGCTGAAATTTATCATCCATTAGATGGTTTCTGATATGTATAAGAATTCTGAGTATTAATAGATAAAATAGAGAAATAATAGATAAAGATAATACAGATAAAAGAGAAAATAATCCCATCAAATACATAAAATAAAAAAATCTCACGAACGCAGTTCTTCCACTAAAAAAATTGGGAGATCTCATGTAGAACCAATTCAACAACTTTGTTATAATGCATCTAACATCTAATCAATTTTATCTATCATCATTTATAGAGACCATATTAATATAAACAAATGATAATAATTATAATGGCTAAAGCATCATTCAGAACCTTGAAATTAGTGGTTTCAATTAGCATAGAAGTTTGTTCCTCTAATTTCAATGTAATTATTCAGTATATCAAAATTAGTATTAGTTATTTTCAATTCGTAGAAGAAGTTAACAAACATTTAACTTTTTCCCCTAATTATATTTCCAAATTTGCGAGTACTGTTATTTTAGCGTTTGATTATGATCCGTCTTTACATTGTAGTTACGCAGCTATTTCTTTGTCAAATATCATTTATAAAAGATATTTTAAATTTAACAGTGTTATTATACAATATTTACCTGATTTTAATTAAAGCAACCACTGTATTTTGTATTTTCACCATATTATTTAATAATAAAACCTTATGTAACCCTTACTCGCAAGTCTATGAATGTTCCAAGACATTTTGATAAAGTTTCCAAACTTCAAATGAATTTAATTTTGTGTTGATGAGCGAAAATTTATCCAATTATTTACAATTATTAGTCTAGCAATCGTTAATTTAGTAACACTCATTTATTAATTATATTTATGTCACATTGCTATGTAGTATTCAATAATATAAAGAAATTATTTTAAATCTAAATTATTTAATATTCTTTTAATAAATTAAAAAAAAATTATAAAGTTATATCAAAAATATAACTTTTAATTTTTTTAATTTAACTAACCTAACCTAACTAACCAATGATTATGCCGACACAAGGAATAGCTTTTCCCGTACGTCTATCCAAAACGTCACAAATTTCGATTAACTAACTGTCAGCTATTTTCAAAAATATTAAAACCCGCAGATCGTGCAAGTATACTGCATTTAAATTATTTATTTAGAGAAAGCATTATCGAAAAGTTTAAACTTTTCTAGCAAAATATATAAAAAATTTATAAGCCATAAAAAACACCTTAACTTAAAGTACTAAAAATTTTACGATAAAAATATTTTTACTTTTAAATTATCTTCTTTTTATGGTAGAAAGTATTTTACGACTTCCGATATAAGTATCTAAATATATACACTGAAGAAGCTGAACAATCAAACGAGAGAAGTAGTATGTCAGAAGTTTATAAAAAAGTTTATAATATAAGCGTAATTTAAAATGTCAAATATATATTTAGATTTACAGTATGTCCCCGGATTGTCTTTAAAAAAGGAAAAACATGTTTATCAATGACATTTTGTGGAGACTCTGGCCAAGTTAATATACCTGTGTGTTAATATAACTGTAAGTTCCCGAAAGTACCCTTGAAGATCTACACTGCTTCATATTTGACTGTATTTTGAAAAAATTTTTTAGTTTGTGAGATGTTCACATTTTCATTAAAATTTTTCTGATTTTCAAACTTTAGTGTTTATTTCATTTCCTGTTACTGTAATTAGTAAACCTACAAAACATATTTATTAGAGGTATAGTAGCTCTTATATTATTATGTTCTGAAGCGTTTATGGCTCTCTTGTAAGGGTAGTAGGAAGTCTAATAATTTGGAGATTGAAATCTTTATATAACTTTTCTTACCATTAGCTTATTTCTTGCTAATACAAAATAAACCGCAGGCTAGGGTGCTGATATAAAGAATGTTTCTCTTTTGATTGACAAAATCTGCAACTTTCCGTTCCTTAATTCCATCAGCATTAAATGTCTATTAAGTTTGCAATGCCCTCCCATATAGCACGTCCAAATGAAATTACGTTTCTACAAGGGAGACACATGAGAAACAACATATGTTAAAGTGAACCTAAGTGTTCATCTAGTTCTAACATATACATATGAGATACACGCAGGTTTATATTGATAGAATTGTGTGATGCAGTGTTTACTAGTTGTATACCGTATGCACTCAAGATTCTAAAGAGTTTTTTGTAACGTAACAAATAATTATTAAAATGATGAAATCTGACGTCGGTATATGAGACATACAATGTATAAGTCATATGTATGTGTGATACTTCGTATCATAGTTGTGCCTGTAGTACACACCTTGTAAAAACGTGACGTATACACATACTATAAATATCTATATAGACACTTTGTAATAGTGTACTGTTGTGTCTACATTCTAGCATGAAATGAAGGTGTGCGCATGCGCGGATAGCCTCAGCGTAGATACACCGACCAAGTGTATCTTATGTGTCCCTCTCCTTTCTCCTTTTTAGGAGTGGTATGTGTTAGCAGCCATTATTGTTGTATCATTCGAAAGCTCTATATAAATGTTCTGTTTGTGTGTAGTTTAAAAGAGATTTGACGGTAAGTACAAGTTTTTAATTACCTTGTTACACCTTCCTAAGAGTATTATTAATATTATAGGAGCGACTCTTCCCTTACTCGATACCCAATTTACCAAATTTTGACTCCAATGAATGAAAACTCCAAATATTCTCGTATAATGATAAAGAGGTTAGCTGAGTTAGCTCTGCAATATATTTTTTTTAATTTGGAAATAATAAAAATCTAAATGGACCAGAGAAAGAAAGATTTAAACACTTCAAAGAACTTCTTACACTGATATTCGGTAAGTTATTGATGGATCGATATACAGATATGTTTAATATTCAATAATCAGTTTCATATAAAATTTAAGGGTGAGATTGTTAATCTGGAAATAAAATACAACAAAGTCCAACAGAGTGCTCGATGAATGAGTATGCTAATAAACCAACTGCTTGGAGGGAAAAGAGGAGAAAAAAATTACTAAACGAGGTCCACCAAATCGTGGCGATATAACAGTGTTTACCATTTTAGTATGTTGTTATACTAGGTACTTATATTTTTAATACATTTTGCTACAAATTCTGTTGTTTTAAAGTGTTTTCTTACTTCTGGTTTCTGCAGTGTAAATAATAATTATTATTGTGTTATTTGCGCTATTGCGTTCCATGGTATAAAGAAATATAATTTTATATTTTTAACCACTTAATCCATTTTATGGAAGAAAAATGGTACATTTAATACAAAACAAAAATGGAACAATTTTAAGGTTACTTCTCTTGAACTTACGATCGAGATACTTTTGGAAAATAAAAGTTTTGCATTCCTAATTTTCGTTCTAAAAGATATAATTGGTATCATTGAATAAATATTTCTTAAAAAGAATGAAAAGTTAGGCATCAAAACTTGTATTATTTCCTAAATTCGTTCATAAGAAGTAGTTTTATCTAGCACAAGATGTATATACGAAGCAAAATACATACGTATACACGCGGTAGTAACAACTGCAATGTGTAAACATAGTTTAAACGTAATACACAAGCACTGTGTATCCTACGGCACACTGTGTATCCCTTACTTTGTGTATACGTAAATGCTATACTGTGGCTACATTGTGAGGCGGACGTTTAACCTTTGTGCATACGTGTTGAACTACAATGTGTAAACGTAGCATATTTACATCGGGGGAATTGTGTCACCCTGTGTCTACATCTAATAATGTAAACACATCGTAAATGTGATTTGATATGCTGTATGGGCTGTTAGTTGACGCACTACACTTTTGACAGTTTTCCTGTCTATGCTTATCAAGTGTAACTTAAATTTCAAGTACTATTTAAGTTTTTCGCCTGCCTCTATTCTGATGATTTCTTTTACAATTCTAGTGATTTGTTGATTACCCATTGTTCAGTGGTCATTCCATTTATTGCCTGTGTAGCAACGAAAAAGGTTTCTGGGCCTATGAATGGCATTGATCAGCCTTGTTTGTCCATTTGACCCTCGTACTCCGGTACCCAGGCTAATGTAACATTGCTAAGTCCTCTAGTCCTCTCAATAACTTACGGGGAAAGGATCTCTTAATTGTTTCAGCTCTACTATTCCAGCTCCTCCGTCTTCTGATATTCTTGAGCCACCTATATTCCAAGGTTCGTCCAAAATTTAAAATAAAATAATAATTTTAGTCGTTTTTATCACTCAAGTCGATATTTTTGACTTAAATCATGATGATCTGCAAGTTAAGCCAGTAAAATGAATTAAGTCAATATAACTACCCTCAAGTCAAGACAACGAAAATTCAATTAAGCAACTTTTTTAAATGTTAGTATTAATTT